ATGCCTCTTTGTTAGAGAGAGTGTTTCTTGTAGGCAACAATAGTTGGGTTGTGTTCTGTGAGCCAGTCAGCCAAACGGTGTCTTTTAACTGAAGATTCAGACCATTATGTTCAATGTGACAAATTGATACGTAGTGACTTTGCCCTGCCATTTTCCCCAGAAATATTTTCTAGTATATGCTTTGAGCTTCCCATGCTATTTTACTGGTAGGTGTTTCTCCTTCCCTTCTTTCATATTGATGGCATGTTTCTGTGTTTTCTGAGTGTAGCACATCTTAAGTATCTTTTGCAGGGCTGGAACGAGTGGCCACAAAGTCTTTCAATTTCTGTTTGCTATGAAAGGTCTTTATTTCACCTTCATTCACAAATGAGAGCTTGGCAGGATATAATATTCTGGGCTGGCAATTTTTCTCTCTTAGCACCTGTGCTATGTCTCGCCATTCCCTCCTAGCTTGTAGGGTTTCTGATGAGAAGTCAGCTGTGAGTCTGATTGGAGATCCTCTGAGAGTAATCTGGCGTTCTCTCTTGCACATTTTAGGATCTTTTCTTTATGTTCACTGTGGTAAGTTTAATTACCACGTGGTCGTGGTGAGGATCTCTTTTGGTCCGTTTATTGGGGGTTCTATGAGCTTCCTGTACTAGGATATCTCTGTCCTTCTCCAAACCTGGAAAGTTCTCTGCTAGTATCTCACTAAAAAGGCCTTCCAATCCTTTCTCTCTCTCCATGACTTCAGGAATCCCTAGAACTCGAATGTTGGTTTTTTTAATAGTATCCTGTAGATTCCCAACAATATTTTTTAGATTTCTAATTCCTCTTCTTTTCTTTGGTTTGACTGTATGTTTTCCTGTGCTCTATCTTCTAAGTCCGATATTCTCTCTTCTGCTTCACCCATTCTGTTTTTAAGGCTTTCTAATGTGTTTTGTCATTTGATCTATTGAGCTCTTCATTTCATTTTGATTTCTCTTCACTATAACCCTTTCCTGTTCTACTAGTTTCTGAGTTTCATTTTGACTCTTCCTTAAAATTTCATTTTCACGAGAGAGATTTTCAATCTTGTCCATTAAGGATTTCTGTAGTTCAAGGATTTGCTTTTGAAAACTTCTAAATGTTCTTATCATAAATTTTTTGAAATCCGTATCTTGCATTTCTTCTATCTCATCAGCTTCATACTCTTGGCTTGGGGTGTTTTGCTTATTTGGAGGCATCATAGTGTCATCGTGATCTTGCTCCCTCTATTTCTGTGTTTGTTACTCGGCATAGTTAATTCATTCTTGCGTCACTGTGCGTTTTTTTTTTTTTTTCTGTGTCCATGTTAAGTGGACTGCCTGCTGTTGGAGGAGCCTTGGAGGCTTGAGATGGGTGCGGCCTGAGAGCTCTGCCTGGTTCTTCCTGGTAAGGGTGTGCAAAGGTGACACCCTCAGGTTATGTGTGGTAAATCTCTCTCTTTTTATTTCTTTCTTTAATTTTATTTATTCAGGGGGTAAGTAACACCGCAGGGCAGGGCTGTGCAGAATTGATGGTATTTAGCTTCCAGTCTTTGGCTCCTCTGGACTCCCACTGGGTTGCCTAGGCTACTGAATTGTAGTGACTCATTCCTTAACTCTCCCCCATTGAATGTAAATCCAGAGAGGAGGCCTGCTCTTGTCTCTTGGGAATTCTTCAAGCCTTGCAGCCTTGTAACCTTTGCAAGGTTAGAGGGGAAGAGCAAACCCCGAATCCGCTTTTTTTTTCCTTCCTTTCCGGTAGTGAGTTTGCTGCACTTTCGGCCCCCCCTCTTAGATTCTGACCCACGTTTCCCCACCAATGTCTCGGGTATTGAGCTCACTCCCCTTCCAGCGCCGATGTGTGGACTCGGAGCCCTGAGCGTCCCAAGTATCCCGCTGTTGTCTGTGTGGCATACACTCCCCTTGGAGCACTGGCGCGCAGACCCTGCGGCTTCTGCGGCTCGGTCCCGCGACTTGCTTCCGCGTGGTGGGCGACCTTGTTCTCCCAGTAGGTCCTCCTCCATTCACTGGCTTGCTCCATCCAGAAGGGTTTACCCTGCAATTTTTTTTGGTTCTATTTTCTGCAGCTACCGTAACTCCCCTTTTATAAAACTAAATTTTCCCCGGACTATCGGTGCGCGCCCTCACTATTCCGCCCATCTTGGCTCCGCCCTCCACACATATTTTTAAAAGGTTACCAAAGAAAGAAAATTTTCGAGGACCAGGAAGCATTCTAGAATGAAGAGGTTCAGAATGCCTGGACCAAAACATGTATTTATAGGCCCTGGCCTATATTCTTGCAGAACTATGGTCTCTTTCTTATTTGTTGAACATTTTGTTTGTTGGAGCATTAAGTCTTTGAATATAATGCAAACTAAAAACTATGTTATCACAAAAATAACAAAACAAATATTAGGTTCAGCAAAAGAAAAAAAGAAAAGAAAACTGCAAAGCAGAATGATGAAAATCAGGGTGGCACCATGGCTCACTTGGATAATCCTCTGCCAGGAGCACTGGCATTCCATATGGGCGCCATGTTCTAGTCTCGGTTGCTCCTCTTCCAGTCCAGCTCTCTGCTGTGGCCCAGCAAGGCAGTGGAGGAGGCCCAAGTTCTTGGGCCCTGTACCCACATGGGAGACCAGGAGGAAGCACCTGGTTCCTGATCAGCATGGCACGCCAGCTGTAAGAGCCATTTGGGAAGTGAACCAATGGAAGGAAGACCTTTCTCTCTCTCTCTCTCTCTCATCTCTCTCTCTCCTCTAACTCTACTCTGCCTGTCTAAAAAAAAGAATGATGAAAATCAGTAAAATGGAAAACTACACTTTAAAAAAAGGAATGAAAGACGCATGCTGCAATGTGGATGGGTTTGGAATCTGGATCCAATTGAATGAAGCCACACTCCTTGCCACATACTGACTAGAAAGCTTTTATTAATAAATATAAATTTCCAAAGTGCAACTTTTGGATATAGCGGTTCTTCCACCCATACCCGACCTCCCATCCCCAAACCATCCCTGCTCCTATTCCCTTTACCACCCCATTCTTCATCAAGATTCATTTTCAATTATCTTTATATCAGAAGTCAACTCTATACTAAGTAAAGAGTTCAACAGTTTGCCACACACACATGCACACACACAAAGTATAAAGTACTCTTTAAAGACTAATTTTACTGTTAATTCTCATAGTACAATACATTAAGGATGGATGGGTCCTACATGGAGAGCAAGTGCACAGTGACTCCTTTGTTGATTTAACAATTGATCTTATTTATGACATTGGTGATCACCAAACATTTGCCATGAGCTGCCGGCTATGGAAGCCTCTAGAGTTCACAACTCTGACCTTATTTAAACAAGGCCATAATCAAAATGGAAGTGCACTACTCCCTTGAGAGGAGAGGAGGAGGAAGGAAGGAAGGAAGGAAGGAAGGAGGAGGAAGGAAGGAAGGAAAGGAGAAGGAAGGAAGGAAGGAAGGAAGGAAGGAAGGAAGGGAGGGAGAAGGAAGGAAGGAAGGGAAGGAAGGAGAGGAAAGGAAGGAAGGACTACTAATGCAGAAGAAATTTTTATAGAGTGATGAAGATGCATTCAATCCACAGAGAAGATATTGCACAAATGTGAACACAGTGTGCACAATCTGAATGTAAAATCCAACTGATTTGCACAATTTAAAATTGTTTCAATTTGGCTGTAAGAATTTACCATCAATCACACAGCATTCTGCCCCCATATGTATTGGCAAAAGAAAAATTAAACAAGGGAATAACATAAACCAGTATTTTGACTGAAGAACATAGTTACTGAGTCCTTCACATGTGCAAATCAACTATCCCATGTATGTGTGATAAAGATACCATTTCAAACTAGCTCAACAATGAGTATTATTAAGATTTTTTTGGAAAACAGGGTATACCCACAGTGGAATACGCTATGACCTTACCACCTCCCTGTATCTAGGAAAGAAATCTCACCTTAAATCACCAATGCCAACAAATTAAATGACAAACATTCAATAGCCAGGGCAACAGAATGTGAAGCATGTTAATTAGATGTCTTAGCAAATAAGAGCACTTACATTGTCTGCACATTGATAACTAAATAGAAAATAATTCAGTCTCCACCATTTCAGGGATACCTATTAAATATAAAATAACATTGCTGGGGACAGGCGCAGTGGCTTACCTTGGTTAATCCTCCACCTGCGGCACCAGAATCCCATATGGGCACTGCGTTCTAATCCCAGTTGCTCCTCTTCCAGTCCAGTTCTCTGCTGTGGCCCAGGAGGGCAGTGGAGGATGGCCCAAGTGCTTCAGCCCTGCACCCACATGGGAGACAAGGAAGAAGCACCTGGCTCCTGGCTTTGGATCAGGCTAGCTGCGCCAGTAGCGGCCATTTGGGGGGTGAACCAATGGAAGGATGAACTTTCTCTCGGTCTCTCCCTCTCACTGTCTGTAATTCTACATGTCAAATTAATAAATAAATAATCTTTTTAAAAATTAACCTTGTTGTTGTAGCCTTGATGGCCATCAGAGGTTTCATTTAAAGCATGATTCATTTTTTACTCAATTTAAAAATTTCCCTAAACTCCATTACTAACTCTGAGATGTAGAGAAACAGAAGGTTAGTGATAGAAACCAAGAGACCTCCTATTCGATGCTTCACACATCTATACCCCCAATGCTTGTACCTGGGCTGAGGTTACAACCAACAACAGGGATTCAGACCCTGGATTTTCACATAGGTGCCAGGACCAAGTTACATGAAGATTCACCACTTCCTTCCGAGGGCCCCCAGGACTCAAAAGTCCAGGTCAGGGGCCAAAACCAGAGCCAGAAATAGATGCCATGAGCTCAGATTGCTAGGCTAAACATCCAACTAACAAGTCATTTATAAAGGAAAAATCCATTTTAGCTCCTTCATATATCTGGATTGCTACTCAGCCTGCATTCTTGGTCCTAAACCCTGAAAATGTGACAGGAAAACAAGTGGAAATTTTTAGGATCCCTTAGAACTTACTCTTTTCTTTAAGCCTTTCAAAGAATTCCTTTCTGGTCTTAAGAGAATAATGTAGCACTTGGGGAGGAAGATGCAGCCCAAGAGCCCCGCACTGGAGGCCAAGATGGAGAAGACCTCCACGGCCACCATGACCTTCCCCTTGGTGCTGTGGTAGACAGGCAGGAAGGTCACCCAGACACTGCAGAACACCAGCATGCTGAATGTCAGGAACTTGGATTCATTGAACGTGTCAGGCAGGTTCCTGGCTAGGAAAGCCACAGTGAAGCTTGCCAGGGCCAAGGAGCCCAGGTAGCCCAGGACACAGTAGAAGGCAGTGGCTGAACCCTTGTTGCACACCAGGATGATGTGGCCATGCTCAGAGTGTGCATCTGTGTCAATAAAGGGAGGAGAAGTCGCAAGCCAGATACCACAAAGAACCAGTTGGATCAGGAAACAGATAGGAATGACAGAGTTAGAAGCTCCTGATACCAGCAATTGCCTGATAGTTCTTCCAGGTTTTGTAACCTTGAAGGCAAGAATCACAGTGATGGTCTTGGCCAGCACGGTGGAAACAGCCACTGTGAACACAAGGCCAAATACTATTTGCTGGAGGAGGCAGGTGGCTGTGTTGGGACGGCCAAGGAAGAGTAAGGAGCAGAGGAAGCACAGGAGGAGGGCAATGAGTAGGATGTAGCTGAGGGTCCTGTTATTGGCCTTGACGATGGGAGTGTCTCGGTGCTTCACAAAGACCCAGAGGATGGCAGCTGTGAGTACAGAGAAACACAGAGCCATGCAGGTCAGAGCCATCCCCAGAAATTCCTCAAAGCCTAAGAAGGTCACCAGTTTCGGGAGGCAGTGGTTTCTCTCCAAGTTTGGGTACTCGTGATCTGCACACGGGATGCATTGTTCTGCATCTGTGGGGAAAAGCAAGATTCACGTTTCCATTTCACAATTTGCTCCTTTTTCCCTGTTCAGGAAAAGGGTCATAGTGAGTCCATCCTGCTCTGATGCATACCAAGAAACACTAAAGGATATTTCTACATTCCTGACCCAGGGAGAATGCTTATCTCCTGTGGAAGAAACTGTTTCAAGGAAGCTCCTTTGCACATGGGGCTCTGTGGTCTCATTCTGTCACTCTGAGTTTTTTTTTTAGTGTTTGAATTTCTATAGAATGATGAATTTCCTGTATTTCATATGGGCATGAGATTCTTCCAAGCCCTCTTCTCTACAGTCCCCAGTGTCTTTCTCAGGAGGAGCCTTAGATTCACATGGGTTAGAATATTTTTCTGGGGTCATCATTGTTAAGGTTTTTCTTACTTTTCCTCAGATGTTGACGACGTATATAAATGATATCTGATTCCTGGGACCTCTATAAATTTTTCAGTACTCTAATTTCCTGCATGGAACTCTCCTTTTCATTCTTTCCATATAAATATTGTGATACTGTGATTGAATGTAAGAGAATTGTAGCTGGTTGTCTTTCTGAGGTAATATAGCCGTAAGTGGTATTTTCATGATGTCACTGAAACACACTCTTGTTAACCTGAAAGCATGGCTTTTTCACCTTTTTAGCTCATGTGAACACCACATTGGGCACCACATTGTCTCACTTGAAGTAATGCACTTCTGCTGCTACAGCATGAGAGAAGTCATTAAATACAGGCCAGTTGGGTGAATATGTTTCTTTTAATCAAATGTCCATTAAACAAACAAAAATAGGGTCAGTGTTGTGGCATGATAGGTAAAGCCACGACCTGCAATGCCAGCACCCCATATGACATTGTTTTGTGTTCCAGTTGATCAATTTCCAATCCAGCTCCCTGCAAATAACCTAGAAAAAGCAGCAGAAGGTGGTCCAAGTAATTGGGACACCCACAGCCATCTGGACAACCCAAATGAAGCTCCTGGCTCCTGGCTTCTGCCTGGCCCAGCCTGGGCCATTCTTTTCCTCTGGGGCATGAGCAATTACATTGAGGCTCTCTCTCTTTCTCTCCTGTTCTCTGAATCTTTGATTTTCAAATAAAATAAATCTTTTTTAAAAAGCAAAAAAAAATGGTATTAGTAGAACTACACTTGCAGTAAGAGTCCTACTCAGTTTTTATCCTTGGTGTTCATGCAAGAATACAAGCTTCAGGGAATGAAGTTGTGATGTAGGAGGAAAAGCCACAGCCTGGGATGATGGCATCCCATACAGGCACCAGTTCATGTCCTGGCTGCTCCTCTTTTAAACCAACTCCGTGCAAATGTGCCTGGAAAACCATCATAGGAAGGCCAAATACTTGTGCCTCTGCAAAACCTGGAAGAAGCTCTTGGTTTCCAGCTTTGGCCAGGCCCAGTTCAGACCATACAGCTATCTGGGGAGTGAATCTACCTGATGGAAGATCTTCTCTGTCACTTTTCTCCCTCTCTGTTATGCTCTCCCTCTCTCTGTAACTGACATTGAAATGAAGAAATAAACATATTTGTGAAAAAAAAGAAAGAGAATATAAGCATCTATAAAAATTTGAGGAATTCTCTCTTAAAATTCTTTTCAAGGTGTACCCTTTACTTTTTATAGAATATGTAGGTGCTTCTGGCATCTGGCTCAGAGATGCACTAGACACACATATGCAAATGTACATTGTACAATGGGTCAGTGTATGACACATTAATTTTCTTTTTTCACTAACTTACTGCATGTTGATTATTTTCACAAAACTTAAAGTATTTTTTTGTTATCATCTTTTTACTGGAAAATATATAATTTGTTTGAAGTAACTGAAATGAAAACAATTCTAGAGCTAAGATTATGTGAACTGAAATATCCTTTCAGAAGAATTCAAATTATTATAAATATATTTATTATACATTGAATAGTGAAACTATTTACCAATGAGACTTAGTACATTTTCACATTTCTCAAACAATTGGCTTTGATATTTAACATTGCTTAAATGTTGGCCTTTTGCAAAGGTTTTTTTGTGTTACTAAGTTGGATCATTTTAGGATGCTGTATCTCTATATTCACCTTGTTTGTTCTCTTACTAAATTATAAACATTCAAAGGACAAAGTGGTGGCATTCGTTATGTGTACTGCACACCATGCACAATGTCAAAGATGTAGCACAGAAATTAATACAGTATTCCCATCACAATTCATGTGAAGTAGAACCCTGCTCATCAGTTGTGTATGGAAAAGTTTTGATTTCAAGCCCTTTAGAAATCCAAAGGGAGCCTTAACAAACACAAATATTATATTTCTTGTGTAGACATTAGGTCTCAGATTGAGACAGTCTCCTCCAGCACCAGGTGGGAAAGAAGGATGCCAGATAGAATCAGTGTCAGAGTAGAACTAGAGAGGATGAGCATCACCAGACAACAGCTTACACATAATGAGATGGTGATAGTGAGCATACAACAATGGTATGGAAAGAGTGAGTGAAGGTGTGCATGGAGAACAATAGGGCACTCTGATCCCAATGCAAATATTCTTGGTTTCCTTTTTATCAAGAGATAGTTCAGAGACTGGAGTCCTCATAGGTCAGTTCTAGGGTTTTTACCTGTATGATTGGAAATGTCTCTCTCTGGACAAACAACACAAGTATAGCAGCAAACAGGTCTTCCTTCCTGTGGTATTTTCCTGAATCCTGGACCACACCTCTGGCTACACAAAGACTGAGGAGTCTGAGGGGGGAAGAGAAGTGATGGTCATTGTTTTATATGTCATTAGGCACTGTGATAGGATGACTCTATTTGCCTCATCACCCCCAAGGTCATCACTATGCCCTCCCTGATCTGTATCTCCTTGATTTTACCTAGACATCCAATTTGGAGTTTCTATGATTCTCATCCCTGGTTTATCAGCTGTCTAGCAAATATTATGGGGTACCTGATCACTTTAATTTCATTCATAACCACATCTATGCTAAGCATTTCTTTCTTTCTTGAATTGCTTCCTGTGAAATCTTTTCCATTCAGCTTTTAATGTGGTAATTATTTTGAGAATGTGTATGTCTGAGACTATTTTACATGCTTCTTTCCTTGATTGAGTAGATTTTACATGCCAGAAAAAATATCAAAAAATCAAAATGACTAGGTACAGTTCTGAATAACTACCTAGGAAAAGACAAGCCCACACAGAAATGGTGAGGAATGTTATAAACCATGGATTGTGCATTGATCTACTTCTGGACTTCTAGACCCAGGGAGAGCAGCAATTCTAGATTACCAAAGATTTGTAATATAATGTACAACAGCTGTATAAAACAATAACAAAATTGTCTGGAGTATTTAAACAGCACAATAATGATAAAATTTTTTATCACAGCTAAGAGGTGCTATTCAGAAGAAAAACCGAACTGATTGGCAAACACAATGAAAATATAGAAAATGGGAATAGTTTCTACAAATACATGATGGATAAGTCCACTCATAATTTATTTGTATTCATACTGCATCAAAACATAATATTGACTCTCACCATATGATTAAAATATCACTATGCTTATAAATATATATCTAATACATGAAGTTTTTTCACGTTATATAAATAAAAAAGTTGAAATAAAATTTTGGAATTTGTGTAGACATGCATTTAGTAATTTTATGTCTACATATTGATCTCTATCTCTATTCCTTAACATTGCTCTTTCTAGTCACTCAACCTTTGGATGCATAAATATGCCCAGAATAAAAACAACAGTATCTAATACAAATGTGCACTTCTAATACACACTGGCTCATATATGTGTAAGCAATACCATATCTTTTGGAGCCAAGATGTGAAATGGGAACTGAATGCTTATTTAAAGTCTCACACATAATATCCTCTCAGACTCTCCTCAGACCCTCTGTAGGTATCCAATATTCCCATGAATTCACACCTCCATGAATGCAACAGGCCATTCTATCATTTCTTCATTGAGGACCAAGCTTTGATCATGTTTACTCTCAGAGGAAAACTCCCCGATTTTAATCAGCAACCGAAATCCAGCAGGAAAGTTCACAATGTTGTGGATATCGTAGTGTGCCATATGGAATCTCGTTTCATGGAAGGAAACATCCTCCCCAGCACTGTTGGTAAATTGGATTTCCCTCAGAAGTGGATGAAGCTGGAGGGGAGGCACAATTGAAAAGGGAGAGAACATTCAGATTAGAGGTGGGAGGTGCACATGTACTGAGAAATCCTTGTCTCCCCTCCTCTCTATTTTCAGAGAGTCTATTTGGTGGAGGCTGACTTTGTCTGAATGGTTCCCACATTGTGGGTTCAAGTAATGAGAATTCTGCCTCTTCCCTATTAGAATGATGGGGAGTATCTGAATCCAAACAGAGAAATCACAGGATGTGTCCCACAGGGTGGCTGACCAAGAACGATTGGTTAGAGGTTTAGGAAAGCTCATCTTAGTTCTTCCACATGAGAACAACATGGCTTTATATGTGAAATACCTTGATTGTTGTGATGGTTCTACAGGATAGTACACTTCTAAAAGTTTAACCCATTCCCCCAAAAAGAATGATATCTGTTCTTTGGCAAAATAATGGATGCAACTGGATACCATTATTCATTGTGAAATGTACTAATTCCATAAAGAAAATAGCATATAGTTTTTTTGGTAATAGGTACTACATAATATAGAATGGAAAAAAATCCACAATGTATAAAAATGAAACTGACATCTCTGGGTTTGATTTGATTTGTTTATGACCCATGTGTAAATTCCTGTGTAGCTGTGGTATTTCTACTTTTCACTTCTGGAACATTATGATTTGTGTGGTATTAAACCCTACTTTTCACTTCTGGAACATTATGATTTGTGTGGTATTAAACCTGTGATTAAAAGTTAATTGAAATTAAAAGGAAATTAGTAAAGGAATTAGAGGGGATTAAGATATGAAAGGAAAAAAACAATGGTTATCTTCTTAGAATTGTATCAATGAGCCAGCACTGAGGCTCAATAGGCTAATCCTCTGCCTGTGGTGCCGGCACACCGGGTTCTAGTCCCGGTTTGGGTGCCAGATTCTGTCCTGGTTGCCCCTCTTCCAGTCTAGCTCTCTGATGTGGCCCGGGAGTGCAGTGGAGGATGGCTTAAGTCCTTAGGCCCTGCATCCCCATGGGAGACCAAGAGAAGCACCTGGCTCCTGGCTTTGGATCAGCACAGCGCGCTGGCTGCAGCAGCCATTGGAGGGTGAACCAATGGCAAAAGGAAGACCTTTCTCTCTGACTCTCACTGTCCACTCTGCCTGTCAAAAAAAAAAAAAAAAACAGAATTGTATCAATGAAATACATGAAATCTGTTCTTTTATATCAGTAAATTTCTCTTTAATTTAACAAAATTTAAGCTGACCTTGTGGTGCAGCAGGTGAAGCCACTGTGCACAGTGCCCAGCAACCCTTTGAGTGCTGGTTCAAATTCCAGCTGTTCTACCGCTGATTCAGCTTTCTGCTAATGTTCCTGGGAAAGCAGCAGATTAGGGTCCAAGAGCTTGGGCCCCTGCGCTCACATGGGAGACATGGTTGAAGCTTCTACATCCTGGCTTGGCTTGGCCTAGTCCTGGTCCTTGCAACCAGTGGGGAGTGAATCAACAGATGCAAAATCTGCCTTCTCTTTCTTTCTCTGTCTCCCTCTCGCACAGTAACTTGGTTAAACGAATTAGAAATCCAAGCATAATTTTTCTTAATAAACATTTTGCAAAGTCTGCTTGTACATCCCTGGGTGAACCTGATTGTTCTAAAATTTAAAAATGTGTATGTTTTGTATGTGCAGGTCCATTTGTATAGCAATTTCACCTCAGTGGATTTTAACAGTAATATGCATGATTTTTATTTGACTCTCTGCACTTTGACTCTTTTTTGTTGAGAATACAGGTACCTTTTGAGATGATAGGGGAAATATTTTATAACCAAAAGATAATTAAGAATACCCTGATGGTAGTTATGATCTGAACAGTGTGTACTAGCCCTTACTTTCTGAGTCTCCTGATGCCTTTGTGGGATGACCAATTCTTTAAACAACCATCATCATGTCTTCACTAACGTGAACCAAGAACTTCATAAATAACAATAATCTTATCTTTGTAAACATTCTTGGCCAATATACTTACTTTTCTAATTATGAGGCTACCAAATCACAGCTGATATGTCAATTACTATTGTACATGAACACAGAAGTTACATAGACAAGTAAACATGCTGATGTCCATTTACATATATATATATATATATATAGATTATATGTATTTCTTCTGTGAGACATTAAATTTATTTGATTTACTAAATAATTTGATCAGTATATTTTCCTGTACATGCATGGAGATGTTCCTAATTGTGTTCTACAATGGGTATTAGATTTATGTGAGCCAGAGTTAAAATCCAGACAAATCCATGTATATCCCAGTGGGTGTACCCTGTGCTTATGTGCATGCTTAGTGATCTTGTATATAATAATAGGTTCACAGCCCCTCCTGACTGCTTGTGTCAGGTTTTCTGTATGACATCACTTCCTGGGTTAGAGTCATTTTATGATATAACGTTGACCCCACTTCTTCTATTTTTTTTTGTTTGTTTACAGGCTAAGTGGACAGTGAGATAGAGAGAGAGACAGAGAGAGAGAGAAAAGTCTTCCTTTTGCCATTCGTTCACCCTCCAATGGCTGCTGCGGCCAGGGCACTGTGGCCAGTGCACCGCGCCTATCCGAAGGCAGGAGCCAGGAGCCAGGTGCTTCTCCTGGTCTCCCATGGGGTGCAGGGCCCAAGCACTTGGGCCATCCTCCACTGCACTCCCGGGCCACAGCAGAGAGCTGGCCTGGAAGAGGGGCAACCGGGACAGAATCCGGCGCCCCGACCGGGACTAGAACCCCGTGTGCCAGCGCCGCCAGGCGTAGGATCAGCCTATTGAGCTGCGGCACCGGCGCCATTGACCCCACTTCTATTTTCCCCAACAGCATCTCACAGAGGGCATGGGCTACAGCGTACAGCATTATAGAGGAGATATCTGCTGTGGGAAACACCATAGTCCATATTTCCTGGCTTTGCAATCATTCCAAAAGAAAATATAGTTTTGATCATTACCTTCTTCCTAGTCCTTGTAATGAGCTGTATTAAGATATTTTGCAGCATTTCATTGTACGGTGAGAAACATTATTCTTCTATGATCTGTCATTATAGAGTCTGAATTGAAAATGTTACGTGGAGCTAAATTCACTCCTTAGAGAAAGGACAGTCTCTTCAACAAATGCAGACATTTGGATTTCCACATGAGGAGATTTGAAATCTGATTGCTACCTTACACCCTATACAAATATTAATTCATCATTTTTCAAGGATCTAAGCCTAAAACCAAAAACCATCAAACTACAAAGGCAAGCACTGGGGAATCACTGCAGGACATGTGCATAATTACTTGGATAAGACCCCAAAAATACAGGCAATAAAGGTGACAATAGACACATGGGATTACAAAAGACACATTCATCAAAGTGAAGATACAACTTACAGAATGGGAGAAAATATTTGTAAAATATTCATCTGATAAAGTACTAATCTCCAGATTGTAGAGGGAGTTCAAGAAACTTAACAACCACATTAACAACATTCCTAGTAAGGAATGAACTTGGGCCGGTGCAGTGGTCCAGCAGGTTAATACCCTGGCCTGAAGCGCCAGCATCACAAATGGCATTGATTGGAGACCTGGCTGCTCCACTTCCAATCCAGCTCTTGTTATGGCCCGGGAAAGCAGTAGAAGATGGCCCAAGTCCCTGGGGCCCTGCACCGCATGGAAAACTCAGAAGAAGCTCCTGGCTCCTGGCTTTGGATTGGCACAGCTCCGGCCATTGCAGCCAACCAGAGAGTTAACCATAGGATTGAAGATGTCTCTCTCTCTCTCTCTCTCTGCCTCTCCTCTCTCTGTGTAATTCTGACTTTAAAATAAATAAATGAATCTTTAAAAAAAAGAAATGAACCAAAGACATGAATGGGCATTTTTCAAAGGATGAAATACAAATGGCTAAGAGAAACATGAAAAGATGCTCAGGCCACTAACCATTAGGAAAGTGCCAATAAAAACTACAGTGAGATTTCCATGAATATTATCCAAAATGTGAAAAATAACAAAGCCTGGAGAGGATCTGGAAAATAAGTACCTCAATAAATTGTGATGGAAAAGATTGTAAGCTGGTACAACCATAATGGAAGATAGTAGAGTGATTATCAGAAAACCAATACTAGTTGTACCATATGGTCCAGCTGTCCACACCTGGGAATGTATTCAAAGGAAATGAAATCAGCACATGAAGTAATCACCTATACTCCCATGTTTATAGCAGCTTAATGCACATTAGCTAAGATGTGCAATCATCTAGATGTGCATCAACTGATGACTGGATGAGGAAATGTGACATATACACATACATATATACATACATGTACATATATATAATACATGCACATATACATATATATATACATGTATAGTGGAATATTATTCAACCATAAGAAAGAATACTTGAGATTTAAAATCGGAGATCATTACAGTAAATTATATAAGCCAGACCTAAAAAATATCAGTTTTTGTCTTATTTGTGCTAGTTAATATATAGAGTATAAAAATGTGTGGATGTCATATCATTGGCTATATAATATTAATATTGCTTCACTGTATCATATCATGTTAATGACAATATTCTCCTCTTTCACATGTTAAAAAAATTGAGTTCACATGTTAAAAAAATTGAGTTGGGGATACTGAGCTCCTTTGGGATGCTAGTAATGCTATGCACTGAATTTGGGTGTTGATTATGAGTGTGATACAACAACAAAAACTCATTTATCTGTAGATTATGTGCATTTCTTAGTATATATACTGTCTTTAAATATTTTCAACATGTTCCATAGCAGAAAATGTTTTTTAAAATGTTCAAGAAGAGATAACAAATCCTCCACACACAGATAACTATTACAGATGTATCTATGCCCAGTCTGTTGTGAAAGAACCCACTCTCCATTATACCTGATCATGGCAATCTCAACATGAAAACATGTACATGTGGACTTGCAATAAAAATACCTGAGGATGCCAGCAGGTGTTCAATGCATGTCCTGTTCTGGGAGATGTTTACCTGCCATGGAAGAATCCTAGGTTGAGCTGCATCTGCTGGAGATCCCTTTTCTATTTGCTCTGAAAGCATCTTATGGAGGGCATGGGCCACTGCATACACAGCATTGTAGATGAAATAGCTGGAGTCAGATATGGTCAGCATGTCAATGTGTCCCGGGAAAAACTCAAAAGAAGCATTTGGTGGGCAGACTCCAATTATTCCACAAAGTGACCCAGGAGGTAAGCAGTGAAAAGCATGAAGCCATAGTTGACTGAGGAAGAAATCTTCTGGGTAGTGGGAAGGGTCAACTGTCCTGACAAAATGTTTGAGGCCAGGGATTTCTTCTTTGTAATGTGAAAATGAGAAGCCTCCATGGAAAGAGTGCAGCATCTGTTGTGTCTCGAGCAGAACAATCTCCCACTTTGCAGCCATGATCCACACCTTCCCCAGGGTTAAATAGTATTTGCTTAGAATTTCCATGGTGTAGAGACTCCTCACATCACCATATAGAATATGCACATTTGCTGATGAAATTCGGATCTCCGCTAGGAAAGATATTTCAGTTTTTTTATACCTTTTCTTAGTGTCAGGGAGCTTTATTGCATAGGCCAAGCAGACATCTTTCTTTACCATCTCGGCTAAAATATCTTGAAGGAACTGCTCTCCTTTCAGATCATTAGATACAAAGATCGCCACCCAAATCCAGCCAAAATGGAGCAGCAATGAGAGCATTCCACAGATCAGAGAGTTGTCACTAGTGCCCATCTGATAGAGCGATGGAAACTTGTCTCTCTCACTTAGCATGGGATCATAGGGGCCATAAGTGATCTGAATAGAAAGAAAACAATCATGATTTAAGTTTTGCAGGTAAAGAAGGCCAATTTCTACCATCTGGGCTTAGAGAAATCCATGCTTCAATGCCTATTGCTTTCAGGAGGAGAAATGCATATCCTCATTTATAGCATGAAAGAATATGTATAAGATACCTGTGTATCTTCATATTCATCCAAAGGAAGAAGAGAGCAAGGATTTTGGACAAGGACATTGGACTTTCTCACTTCTCACCACATGTCACATGTGGGGAGCAGCCCACAATGCAACTGGTGTTAAATCTTACCTCTGAGACAAACAACCCCTTACTCTGTTAATCACTTCATAGTTTGAATTTCATTTGTTTTCACAGCATAACCTAAATTGCCTTGAATAATTCATTCACCTACCATCTCTGAGTTTTGGTAAAGTTGCTTTTCACACCAGAATCTTCCTAAGCTATTCCAGTCTAGCTTGAAGTTATTTTGCACAGATTGCTACCTGTTTGAAGTGGTGTCCTTTAAGAATGCTGGAAATGCAGACCCTTGGAGGCAGCTGATCAAATTATGTACTTGGTTCCTGAAACCATTTTTGAGATTTTAATTTAGTGCTGGTCCCTCATTCTCAACACAGACAGCACCAGCACCATAATGGGTATTTGGTGACTAAACTAGTGAATGTGTGTACACTGTCTGCCTCTCTTTGTTTCTCAGTCTATCAAACACACTTTAAGATTAAATCACTGTGTTGACATGGAAAGTGACCTGGGAGCCCTGTGAAAGAATCTGCTGAATGTGATGAAGTCAGGATTGGGATGAAGTCAGGATTGGGATAGGGAGAGGGTGAATCTCACCTAAATGCAACTCAGCACCAAACACTCTTTGATGAACTTTGGGACTGTCATGGTCCTCTGTGTGCTCCAAATGAAAGCACAGGCTAGTGATTTATATACACATGTCTAACATGGAGTCATCCTAGGACATGTCTGTGCTGTGGGTATTTCCTGTGAATAGTCAACAATCAACATTCCCAGCAGGTGGGGATGGATACATTGGCCCAAGCCGGATCTGGGGGGAGGTTCTCAGCTTCCACTGCTCCTTCCCTTTCTCACAGACAAAAGAGATCTCCAGAATCTCTTTCAACTAACAGTGTATATGTCATGTGGCTTCCAATGACCCTTGCTTCAGGTATGGCAGATCTGGTGGCAGATGGAAATATTTCTCACCAGTATTCACAAACCATTTACCTGTGGGGTTTTGTACAGCTCCAACATCGTTCCAATTTCAGCCAAAAATGCTGATGTGGTTCCAGCAATGACGGCAACAGTCTTGCCTTGTGTCTGGCAGGTGTAGTTAGGGATGAGATAATGCTTTCCAGTCAGCCAGTGCAGAGTGCTCCTCAGGGTGAACTGGCCACTGGTAACAGAATTGTAGAGCTGGAAACCCAGGGTCAGATTGGGGAGGAGCTGGGGGTCCTTATTGATCTCCTGGATGGCAAAGTGGAAGGCCAGCACGTATTGGTAGTTCTTCCACAGCCACCTAAAGAGTGGAGCAGGGTCAGAGAGAAGGGAGAGACCATAGAATTCAGATCAACAACACAGCCATGCCCTGAAGCAGCAATGGCCAGACTCAGGCTGCCACTGTGGGGTGCCTCAGCTCTGGCACGTGGAAGAGGTCTGAGTGAAGTCTCAAGGGTTCTAGAAGATCATGGAATGGCCATTGGACTCCTCTGAAGCAAACTTTGTCCATGATCACATTCACCTTCCCGAACCCTTCAGGAAAGCCTTGATGTGTCCCAACATGGGATTATACTTCTACTTAGGGATGGAAAGCAAGAGACAAGCATCTCTCTTTTCAGTAACTTCTAAAATAGTTGAACACCATCTGGCTTGTCAGTTACCCAAGTGTTTTTCAACATCTCTAATCTATTCACCAAAGCCATTTTTGTGAACCCTTTCTGTAATTTTCCACTGACTATACCAACACTCACAGAAGCCTTTTCATTCAAATATATGTTCCTTGAAAATGAGCATTTTATTAAGAAGGTCAAATTGGTAGAATATTTACAAGGTTCACTTTATTTTTATTCACTGTTTTCCTCATTCACTGAAATCTCTTTTAACATTTCACATTTTATTCTTTAACATTCTCTGCATGTTTCTATAAAGCTTAAGCAAAATTATGAGTTCTTGGGATTTAGTAATGGCTCTCAAATATTAGCTGTCCTAGAGTGTTATGAATGTTTTCTTTTCACACAATGGATACCTTTGCTCCTCTTCTTGGAAATTTTTTTCCTTATTTTTACAATTCATCCATAATTTGAATGTCAAGAAATACATACTTGTCAATAGTTTATGTGGAATTTCATAAATTTATGCAATTGTCTGTTGTTTAGGTGCATTGATTCATGTGTTTGAATGTTGAGCTTTATAGATTGTCATTTCAGTATGTTAAATTCATGAAATATGTTTATGCAATTTATAAAATGCAATGTTTGATTTAAGGTTAATACATTTATTAACAAGATTCATACAATTTTGTATCATTATTACATACAGAATTTGAAACTTTTTTTTTTACCTAAAATAGTCAAATTTTGTTCTATTCAATGAATGGTTGATTCAAAAAGTTTTTTTTATTTCATAAACAGGGCTTACTTGTTATACACTAAGTAGACACATCAAAAAATATGACACTGAAGACTGTTCGATACTTACTTTTACTTATTTGAATGGAAGTTAGGAGCATTAAATTGAAATGTTTCTTGCTGATATCAATAGAGTGAATACAAAATGTCCATTTCTCACTCTGCAGTAGTGGAGAGCAAGCAGAAAATGGAAAGGGAAGGTTGTGAAAAGCAAAAGAACAGAAGGAACTCCAGCCCTCTCTTATCTGCATTCCTGCAACTTCTATATATTTATTCTTTAGAATTCTCAAGCACAATTAAACATTCACAGATACAAGCACAAGTACAATCTGACAGTCCGAAGCACAGTTGACACATAACTCAATGTTGGACTTACCAATTAACTGCCATCTTATCCACTGGCCTGGATAAAAAAGATAACTGGATCATGTCTGATTCTGGTTCCAGGAAGTAAAGGGGGAAAAACCCACCCAGTACCAGGTCTCCATCTCTGTAGACACTTGGTCTCATGGAATTATAACAGTTCCTGGGAGGTATGTCCTGTGAACTGTATAAAGGATTCAGGAGTAGGTTGACAAAAATCACTGAAAACAGCATGTCAAGTGAACCCACTGTAAAGTTAAAGGCCCAAATCTCTGTTGATATTAGCAGAAAATGGTCTGGATTATGTCTTCTATCTCAGTTCTCTGAGGAACTGCAGGGAGAATAGAGCTCTGTGTACGGCAAAGCTGATCCCAGTATAGCTATATGCACTAAACCTGTAGACAGTGTGTGCTAGTCTATTGAGTCACACAGGGACACAACCAAAATCACAAGAAAGACATTTCAAAGGGAGTCACAGGGCTGAGGCCTTGCCTTAATGTCCCTGTGATCAGATCAACTCTGGTTTCTATATATTTACTTTGTTTCATTTCTGTCCCAATCAGGAACTCATAGCATCACCCCACCCTGAGGCTATGCACCTGCTACTCTCCATTAAGGAGAAAAACTGCTTTGGAAAAACATGCTTTGGACTCTCATTCCTCCCTAGGGCATTGCTGGGACAGAGCTGTGTAAACTTTCATGCACACGGGCCAAGAGTTGTTAGGTTAGTCTAGTATTTTCATGGTTTTGGCAATTGTAGAAATAATTAGTGTTGGAATAAAAAAATACTCAGTTTCATCATGTCAAATAATTCTTTATGAAGAAGGTGAAGGGTCACATTCACCACTTATGACCCTATATGTACCTCAGGAATGCTCTTCATGGCTGTGCCTAATATCTCTCCCAGGCCTGTAGTACTTTAATGGAGAAACAGTCTTCATGAATTGCAAATAAGTATATGGAGACAAGGGCAGTAGTTCATTCCTGCATTTACACTTATATATAATCTTATGTAATCTAATTGTGTTCAATATGCTTCAAAATACAGTAAAGTTTTGCACCATATAATTAAGCCCTTCAGAATGTATATAGGAATATATACAGCACCTGTGTTTTGCGTGTGTGTGTGTGTGTGTGTGTGTGTCTGCGTGCTTCTTTTATCTTAAATTGCTTCTAACCCATGTGTTAGCTTTGTTCCTAATTTTCTCTCAGCTGCTGATAGAAAGTTGTGCATTTGCTGATGACATGTGTGAGGAACATTGTATTGTATGCATACATGTGAAATGAGAATTGAATGCATATTTAAAATTTCATACTTCATCTCCTCTCACCTCACCCTCTTTCTAATTCTTCTCTTGGAACGACACCTCCTTGAATGCAGGAGGCCATTCTATCATCTCTGCATTTTGATGACCAAGCCTTGGTCATGTACACTCTTGCAGGAAAACTCTCCAATTTTAGCCAACAACCCAAGACCCAGAGGAAAATACACACACTCTGGATATCATGAGATGCCATACAGTGCTGTGATCATAGGAGGATTCTTCATCCCCAGTAATGTTTGCAAATGGGCTTTTCCTTGGAAGTTGTTGAAGCTGAAGGACAGGCATAATTGGAAAGAGAGAGAGCCATCAGATGAGAAGTGGGAGGTGGATGTGTACTCAGCAGTCCTCATTTTTCCTCAATCTCCCTATCCTCAATGTTTCTTTTTGGTTGAAATTAGTTTTTTGTTGTTTGATTTTTGTGGCCACCATGTCATAGGTTCAAATGATGAGAAGTGTCTTTCCATGAACCCTCCTAATGAAATGGGAATTTTCTTAACACAATCAAGAGAGGTGTATGATGTATTTCATGGGTGGCTAGGGTATGGGCTCTTTGCAACTCATCCCAAAGATTTGGTTCTATCTTTATGAAAACTATATCTAGTTCTTCAATAACATATGCAAACATGGGTTTACAGGTCCCTATGATTTTTGTGTAGGTCACACATATAGTGGTAGGTTTATTTTAAAATTCTATGTAAGTACAGTAAATGAAATTCTAGCTCAATTTTGGTTCAACAAATACAAATCTATCCATAGACTTTTCAGAAGTAAAAAAAAATAAATTAGATGGTGTAATAAGCTCTGAGTTTTTTACATATGGATGTTTGCCTTTTTCCTAGACTTTAATCTCTTCAACTAATTTAATCTGTATGTCGCATGAGGTACTAAATCTATTCTACATATAAGTGATGGATTCAGATAATGTAGAATAAAATCCAGACAAATCCATGTTGCTGTGGATTCATTCTGAGAGGAGTGCGGTGGGGGCAAGAGGCGCAGAGTCACCACACAGACACCAGGTGTTGGGTGAAAACAGGCCAGAGGTGAGCAGCCTGCAGACTCATTTATTTCAGTTGTTACAGCAGCTTATATAGCCAAGGCAGCCAATCTGGTCAAGAGGTAGTTTATGCCCTAACCAATCTCAGCCTGTTGCCAGACATGCTCCATTGCCAGGTGGGTTCTGAAGCCATTCCTGAGTAACTGACACTCACTTGCCAGTGGCCATCTTGACATGGCCTTCTTATTCCACCACATTTCCCCCTTTTTGTTTATTTTTGAGCAATGGGAGACATGATCCTTGAAACTACCATTGTTGACCCTTTCCATGTGGTCTCCCTAGGTGGCTGTGCCTCTCTTAGGTTGTCCCCAGGGGATCTTACCCATCATTGACTAACCAGCCCTCAAAATGGGAGACCACAGGAGTGCTTGCTCAGATGGGGGTAGGAATGAGGAACAATGGTAATCAGGAATGGCATGACCACACACAGGCTGTGGGCCATTTGAGTGGCTGACCTGAGCTAAGTGGGGTATAAAGCAGCAGCAGATGTAGCTGTGGGCAGGGTAGGATGATAGGGCATCAGCTTTACAATCAGTGCCAGGTGCATCTGCTAACAAGGCAGATTCTCAATTGCTCAGCTGGTTCTGGTTGACTATCAGTTGCAGCCTTGATGTTTCTGCTGGTACCCCAAAAGGCTGTCTCTCATTCTCTGGAAAGACACAAGCATATCCTCAGCCCTTTGTTAGCAGAGGGTGTTGTCCCTTCCATTCTCCAGTCAGTGAGTCTTTCCACCTAACCACAGGGGCTGGGGTCTGGGATGGAGAGGATCCCCGGTGTTTATAAGCTGGGATGACCCTTTGGGAATCAAAGTAATCAAAAGTAAGAAAATTGGGCATGTTATGAGGGCTAGTGGAGGGCTCTATGTGTCCCTTTTCCAATTGTTCCTGTACCAATTCTCTAAGGATGCCAAATTTGGATTGTGATATTGGCTACTGCTCTACCTAGATGTTTCCTGTTTTTTCTCATTCAATGGGGATTGGGCCTGGCTTTTGTATGAGGTGAGAAGTGTGTTCTATGGGGGTGAATCTTACTTGTAGGCTCTTCATCAAAGCTGTTGACTCATGGAGATTTGTGATCCACAGTAAGAACCACTTGCATTTGTGAGAGAACATCTCTCCCCCATAAGGTCATGGAAACCTCAGCAATT